TCCAACACCCAATGCTACTTTTCTTATCCCGGTGCAACTGGAATTTGTGGCGGGAAGGAGAAGTCTTTGACTTGAAGTTCTTAGGTTTCACTCCGGCAGCTTGTTGGGCTTGTTGGTTTCTTTGGCAACCCATATGAGCTGAAATGACAATGGGATCAAGTCAGGTCAATTCAATCTTTCATAATTTTTGATTTGCTTACATGATTTAAATAGATTGTTCTAGTTCAACGTGTACGGCCGTGGTCCAGATGGTGTCCCCAGTTTTCTTATAGCTCACAGACAGAATGCTGTATGCCCGGCCAACTTTTGTAGCTCAGAGTCCAACAACAGGACAGGACAATCGGTGAGTTCTGCTATTTAACATATCTATGACACAAAGGTTCAACTCTGGACCGGCTGTGATACAGTTGTTTTTGAGGTGGAAAACAGAGTTGGGAAACACCTCTTTCACAAATGTATTGTAAAACAAATCTATATAATTGATTAAGTGGATGTAAGCGGCCGGTCTTTGAAGATGTTAAACTTAAAAAGGAAGGCAGACAAGGTGAGATACATACACAAGTTAACCTCGCCAACAGATTTTGCAATGAATGTATTTGATGTAATACAGAGAGGTTTGGGTCAAGTAAACAAGGAAGTGTTTGATGACGTCAAAAATGTATATGCAAGAGCTGGGTTTGTGAGGCGGATCTGAATCTTGTTGAAATTATGGATGAAGGAGAACACGGTGAGATAGAATGATTGAAGTAATTGTTTGAACAAGCTGAGTGAATACTTGAAGATGTTGTGTGTAGGTTGTGGAAGTTGGAGTGAGGCAGTGTCTTGATCTTAGGTCAGTACACTGTGCCCGTGGTGCATCTGTGAGTTATTTTGGGAGCCATTGCAAGGATACAAGTTGCATTATCCTTGGGTGGGGTCCAAATTTTTAGTGATCACAAGATGGTGCAGTTGAAGGAAATCAAACTTCTACAAGAGGAGTGTCATGCATTAGGAATTCCAAAGAGCAGCAAGAAAAATACGTGCTTGCTTATTCATCAAACAATTTCACCACACAGAGATATTGTTCCTGCTATTACAGTAAAATTTTGTGCAAATATCTATGCTTAGCTTTATGAGCTCATTCATTGAGTCTGATTTATATTTCATTTCACAAAGTTTCTAACAGCCACTTCTACCTTAAACATGAGACCATGTGTCATGTGGCGTAATATGTTGTCAAGCTACATGACAATGACATGTGTTTGTGGGGGCTGGAGGCCCCTGGTATGCTATGCTGGTCAGGGTAGGCTCTCCAATGGCATTACTCAGGACATATTGTCTAGAGCCTGCAGTCTCAGAGAGTCTGCCTTGGCAGGGACCAAGTTGAATGATTACAAACTTTACAAATTTAGAGGAGGTTTTATTTAGTTAACAATTCACTCATCATGGATTGCCTGTATTGACCAGGGCAATCACTTCTATTTTACCTCACAGTCAATTCCAAGGTTCAGAATGATTAGAAGTACATGAAAGAAATAAACACATCAGGCC